TAAACAAGACTTAGCTATTTAATCATTTCTTTGTATGTGAATGCCTCCATCCATCAAATATTCATGATGGTCATGATGATTATTTGATACATTTGATATAATTGACATAACAAACAATTGCATCACCCAGGTAGTAATGATACCAAGGTCATGCAAAAATGAAACTTTTAATAATGTGTCTACCCAGTTCACAAGAATAGATAAATAGGGAGGATCAAAAAAATATATTATAGTTTCCATTGTATAGTTTCTTATGAATAATAAATCTGATGTTGATCACAGTGTCAGATTTAATTGAATTTTCCTATCACAAACATGCAATCGCATGCAATTGCACACCCTTAGCATTATGTAATTTTTTCCACAAGTAGGGGCAGGTTGAACATGTTGGAAGGCTTTGGACAAAAACATTCCTTATCTTCCTTTCAGACCAGACTTGGATGTCACCATATGGACATTGATCACTGATAGCTGGTGCTTGTGTGATGGTTGCTTTGTGTTATACACTTCTCACTAGAATAAAGTTTGTGTCTGTAACTGGTTTGAAAATTATGCAACTCAGGAGGTTGAAACCAGGGTCATTGTTTTGGTTTTTCCCTGAATTCAGAGTTTTGAGTCCTGGGTTGCTGTAATTTTTATGAAAAGAAAAGTATTAATATTTAACAATTAATTATTTAATGTTTATTTTGTTGAAAAAAATATACATTGATAGTGTACATTTTCTGTGCTTAACATCCATGTGACCCTAGGTCTGGACAAAAGATCCCTTTCTATGAGTTTGGCTGGTATATCTCAAAGGCGTCCCCTGTCTTGTCAGTGGCATGCCTGCTTACCAACAACCCTACCCCCATTTAAATAACAAGTTCAGTTGGTCAAACAAAAATTAAAGAGAAACAGAGTATTTGGGAAAATGTTTAATTTATAACATACCAAAATCCAAACCATTTCATGACTTTTTTCTTGTTGGCCATATTGCTGACAAAGATATATATAATCATGTGATAATTTTAACCTACAGGACAGGGGACTGATTGGGCAAAGACCCTTACCCAAAATCATAAATTGGTTAGCATCAGAGAAACAGTGAATTTATGAAATGATTATACAAAACAAACACTATTTTACAACTTTCCTCTTAACATCAGAACCCAAATGCGATTTCAGGGCCACCAACCCTGCTCTGAGTTGTGACCTCCTGTGCTTGGAACAAGCTGCAGATTCTCTTAATATTCCTCCGAGTTGCGACTTGGTCACAGAGCAATCCTTGCCCTAGAGGTGGGATCGTTGCAGGCAACTTTTCGGCCAACGTGCCAGCAGCCATCTCTGGTCTGGTGCTGTGAAGATTAGTGAAAGTGTCATTGACAATTGATACAGTTTTGGTAAACTCCAAAGCCACGCAATACCCCTGGAATTCAATTGCAACAATGTATCATCGATCAATCAGGTCAGATTAGCCTTGTGCACAAGAGGAACGTGTGAATGACTGTAAGTGTTCAAGGTAGCGTGCATGCTTCAACATCTGTAAATTTCCGATAATCAAACATTGCATACTCAAAATGTTTCTTTTTCGACAGTCATCTGCATTGATATCTTGTAATTATTATTATAATTATTATGATTACGAAAAGCAAAATATTATCAATGAAAACCTTGTAATTACCCAACAAGATCTGCCCGCGTTTTGATTCCAATTAAAATATTTATAAACCAAAAAAGACAATACAAATAAAAAATAGTAACCTCTGGTTAGTTATTAACACGTATTCTTTAGAGCCAAACCATACCAAACCAAACAACATCACTCACGTTTTGTCATCTTGGACTCTGTCAAAAAATAAATAAATTGTTTTTTGTTTTTCCAAAAAAATTCAATTCGCGTCAACAAAAAAATCAATTCGCGCCTGTCCTACCAAAAAAAAAACCAATAGGATAAATAATTAATGTGTACATGTCGATCAAATCACAATCTTTTCTTTTTATAATTTTATAATGTATAATTCTAGCAACAAGAAGCGAAGAAAAGCAATGATGCCGAAAAAATATACGAGTAAGTGTTTTAAGGATGGTGGTGGTGGTTATCGTCCGCCACCCGTCATTACTCTAGTTCTTATTAAACATTTGCTTAAGAAAAAGACTTGCAAATATTATTTTTTTGTATTTCTTAGAAGTTCTTCAAAAGTAATTGAACATAAAATATAATGAATTACTCATTTTTTAAAACCTCCAAGAAAACTTTTCTATTTATGCATTTACTTACGCAATTTTTTTTTTAAAAATTCTTACAGCTATCAAAAGATGATAATCAAAAAGAGAATGTTGTTGACTATAAAAATATATTTAAATCAATGGACAATAAATTTAAATGGAAACTTGAATCTTCAGGACGTTATGTGGAGAATGTCTTATATTCTTATGCTATCAAAAATGACGATTCTCCCGAACTGTAAGTTACATGCCTATGTCTTACCAAGATTATCCTCAAAGGCCTAATATATTCTTTTTAAACAGACCACTACATTCATTCATAATTGATCTCAAAGATTCCATAATAAAGAAAATATTCACCAATCCTGAATTAGAGGAAATGGCAAATACAAATATTAAGACAGATCCTGTCGTTGATAAGGTTTTTGTAGATGAATTGAATCGTTTTTCTGAAGTAAGTTGTTAAAAAATAAAGCTTCAATATCAATACCATTACTGACATTATTATTATTTGATAATTATAAAAATAAACCTTTTTAACCATTTGAATTGTTTATTTAGATCACTACCATTCAAGGATTTCGTGTTGCATTAAACAAATTATCAACAAAATGTTTGGAGACATCAAATAAAGATGATCATTTCTCATTAGATACTCTTCATTATATTATCAATACTTTGTAAGTATAAGTTCACCACATTGATTATATTAATATGTTTTTTTTGGTGAGGGAATGAAAATCATTCAAATATTTTATTCTTCATCCAATAGAATATGACAGTATGAACGGCACCCAAATCCATTTACAGTAGATCATCATGAGGGATGGTATGTGGTTAATTTGTGGGGCCCTGTGGTGGATAGAATGTTTGATGATCTTGAACATATTGATGTAATTAGGTAAGAAGAATTACTAATATTATTTCTGGTTAATCCTTTTTTGGTCTAATAGTTAATCTTCAATCATACAATTTAAATAGGGGTGATGCTTCCTCAATAGCAAGTTCTGAGAGGAAAAATCTCAATAGGAATTTTACTAAAAGAAAGAAAGTTGGTAGAAAAATTGATGGGTTGATTAGGAACACTGATGGTTTGGAATATGGAGGGATGGAAGCAGGAAGATACTATGAAGGTGAAAAAGGAACGAAATGGTTGAAGGAATCTAATTTGAAATTGCCAAAACTATCAAGAGATATGCTGGTCCAATTGGATCACGAAAAAAAAACAGTTTTGGAGGAGTTAGAAATTGTGGGTTTTGTTCATGGAGGTAAGTAAATTGTTGATTTATTTGCAATTTTCTATTAACCTTCTAATAAAATATTTACTTTCAACAACAATGATTGATGAAAAAAAATTTAAATATAGGGTGTTCCTTAATGTTAATCTTTGTTGATATTCCAAAAGGATATATTTGTAGGCTAACAAGAAGCATTGTTTATGAAATTCCTACCAAAATCAAGTCTTTTTATAAAGCTTTAGAACTAATCAGTGCAGTCTGGACTGCAAAGGTATGTTTGTATGTGCATGTATACATTTTATGTTGGATGTTTATTAATTGTGAATTTTTCTTAGTTGAAAGTTCAAAGAACAATTTCTATAGTTGAGCAACCAAAACTAAAATATCGGTAGGTATTAAAAGGAAAAAATCTCAAGAGGAAAAAGGTTCAATGGCTCAAATACATCACCAAAAAGAATTTCAACTGAACAGTAGTCTTGCAATACATTGATAATTTAATCAAATAATTCCACATTATATTGAGGATGACAAATGATCAAAGTAATATATTGAAATTTAAAGAACTAATTAGATATTATTAATAATATTGAAAAATAACATAGATACTTGCACATTGGAAATAATTTTCATTTTCATCCTTACATCTTTTTCAATAATTACTATTCTTTTTTTTACTTTTAATCAGCAACATGGTTATACTAATTAATATTTTATGATTTTTTAGTAATTGGGAAATTATTTCTTATTTGCAATCAGCTTTAATAATATACACATACATTTAATTTTCTTTTCACAAATCATGTGAATCTGTGTATAACAAACCATTTTTATATTTTCTCTACTAATCATGATTGTTGTTTAAATTTCCCCCTCTAATTTTTTTAAAAAAGGAATTATTATTAGTTAAATTTGAATGGCCTTATGTTTAGGGATGGGGCGGTTTAAAAAAACCCCGGTTCGAACTCGGTTTTTGAACCGGTTTTTGGTTTAGGTTCGGTTCGGTTTTTGAACAGGTTCGAATCGGTTTTTTTGTGAAACTAAAATCTCTATGTTTATTGGCCAGGTTATTATATCACGTGAAAATGTAAT